GAAGGCTGTGAGAGAGTGCGTGTGTTTGAGGAGGCCACGTGAGTATATCCCATGGAATGGGCATGGGAGGGAGGCACAGCATGGAGGGTAAGCCCGTGTTATCCCACCTGACAGGTCCTTCTTCATTCTCTACTCTTTCCAGTCTAGAGGTGCTGTCAGCATCAGACTATCAGTCTCGCAGATTTTCCATGATCAAACTTGTTGACATTACCTACTCTGAGCACTTAAATCTTTGCTTATCATTATCTCCATAGAAACCTGCTTTCTGCCCACATGCCAGCCACAAGCGCAGCAGGAGCTGGAAGGGAAAGAGATCTGAAACCTAAGCCTTTTGTTCCTTCTATTTTTTTTAACCATCCCTGGGGAAAGTGTAAGGACTTGCTAGACCATAATCAGAGTTGGGGGGGGGGCAGGGAGATAGGCTAACAGAGTATGAATGAATGAAAGAGAACAAACAAACATGCCAGTACTTTTTTACCCCCTGGTTGCTGTTCAGTTCTAGTGTTGTGAACTTCCAGAAAGAAATCTCTAATTCTTGCAAGAAAGAGCGTTAGAATATTCTCAAATCATATTGGATGGTTCTGAAGCCACTCACTGATTTCTTTACCATCTGTGTTGGTTTGAGTATGACCATTCCAGAGGCCACTCCAGTCCCCTTTGCTGGTCTGGGAAAGCTTGCTCTATTTCCTCCTGCAGCTTTCTATCCGTTTGGGCAGATTCACACTGGAAGCTGTGGTTTCGATAGCAGCCAGGAAGTTTAGTCATGGTGTGGGAGTAAAGATTTGGCTAGGTCTGGGTTTCGGGCATTGAGGGCACCATTTGCATCTCAGCTGAGGGAGAAGAGAACCAACCCATGGTGGTAGACGTTCTGGAAAAGAACCACTGTCAGCAGTCTTTGTTACTGTTCCCACTCTGCCTGGTGGTCCTCTGAGAGAAGAGGCTTCCTTCCTTAGCATATGCAGGCTGGGCTCTTCGAGCTTCTCTCATTCCACACCGTGAACATAGATGGAAGTAAGACTTTGACTGGTCCACGTGACGTCACAGCGTGAAGCTAGAGGCAGTCTCACAGTCATCTCATCCAGCTTCCCACTCTGCATTAGCCCCTTAAGGAAGGTGGTGTTGATCAGTCATTCCCTAAGAGCTCCTGGGCTTTCTTTATCTTACCAGTTTTCCTGCTGAGAAATGCCTTATATGTTTAGATTGCTATATTGGGGAATAGAACCCAGGCCTTGCACATTCACCCCTAGCTCTAGATGCATTTTTAGTTGTCATAAAGGAAGGAGACATGATCTTGCTGATGTCTGGTTGGTACTGGCATGTTGTTAAATGTCCTGTGACATGCACAGCAGTGCCTCTCTACCGTGGTCCCTGCAACAGGGAATTACTCAACCCCACTACAGCAGCAATGAGCCCTGAGGGGCCTCAAAAATGGCAGAGCTTTTCAGATTTTGTTGAGGTTACTGTCCTCTCTGAACAGGGTCCCAGCTCCCATGGTGCCCTGCCTAAGCAAAGTCCCCCTTCTTTCACTGACTGTTTTCCTGTGTACTTATGTGTCTGTGTCTCTCTCCATCCTTCAGGTCCCCAGGTCCTGACTTGGCCTTCTTGACTTCCTGTCCTGACAAGAACAAAGTCCATTTCAACCCGACTGGCTCAGCCTTCTGCCCTGTCAGCTTGATCAAGCCCCTCTTCCCCAGCATGGGCTTCATCTTCCGGAACTGCCCTTCCAGCCCTGGCTCTCCTCTTCCTCCTGCCAGTCCCAGGGCACCACCTCGGAAGGATCCAGAAGCTTCCAAGGCCTCCTCACTGCCATTTGAGCCATGGCAGCGCACCCCACCATCAGAAGAGTCCGTGCTTTTCCAGAGCTCCTTGGTAGTTTGAGCCCCCGACCCCTGCACACACTTTTACCATGGAGACCAGTGCCTTGGTGGCAAGCTCCTCATTAGCTTCCCAAGCTGGGGATGGAGGAGCCCTTCCCTCTTGGCCTTTGAGCACTTTCATTTATTGTGTCAAAGCCCCACGTCCTTTGGTGGACGTCAGCCCCTCCAAAGGGAGGAGATTTACCTTCTCCACTAGCAGCTAGGCAGCTCACAACTTACACTTGTGTACCTGCGGCTTCCCTCACTTGCTAGGAGGTCTTGAGTCTTCTAGCCCAGGGTGTGCATTCAGATGACTTACGGAAGGCTCTTGTTGTGGAACAAGCTGTCTGTGAGTGAGAGAGGGAGATGCCACAGACTCCTTACAGCCCCACCTCTAGAGATAGAGGAGATCAGACCCGACGCCTCCCTCCTAGAGGAGCTGACCAAAGTGGTCCTCAGGGCCAGAACACTTGACCAATTCAGCTGTTGGCAGGGGGACCATGAGATTTCCCAAGTGGCATTTTCATCTCACTTTTACCCTGACTAAAGATTGTCTTAAGCAGCATCCCAGCCCCAAGTGGATAGTGGGAAGAGGGAGAGCTGGCATTCCTGCAGGTGGCACATGGTGGCTCCATACCCTCCACCTGCCCCAGGATTGGGGTGGATTAGAAAAATGCCTATTTTTCTTGTATCGATGTAGAAACTCTATTTTCTCCCAAAGACACTATTTTTGCAGCTATTTGAAGTTTGTATATTTTCTGTACTGCAGAGCTTACACAAAATTGAAGAATGTTAATGTTCAAGTTTTCTTATCTTGTGTTTAGAAGTTGTTTTTTGCAGATCTTGATGTTAATAGACCAAATAAATAAATACTCCAGCAATTTGGGTTTTCTGAATGCCTGGAATGGGAGGAGTGTGCCGGAATGGAAGGCGCTGTATGTCACTCTAACCGGTCTTCAAGAGAAGGAGCCTCGTTTAACACATCATGGTCTAGTTGCTGTAAGGATAGGCTTTGCTAGAGTCTTCACAAAGACACACTCATGGGAGACACATGAAGTCTTGTCTAGAATGGAGAGCTTGGTGTGTCCTGAAAGTGATACAGGAGTCACTAAGGAAGGGGCTGACGAGAGTCTGAAAAGGCTCCTGAGGCCAGTGGACGTAAGCAAGAACACAAGGGCAACTAAAGGGAGATAGTTTGGCATTGCAGGTTCTCTGGCAGGGAAACGAGACCAGGGAATGGCGTGCAACTAAGACAGCATTAAGGTTTTAGCTTCCATGCTATGTCTCCGTGAGTACCCAAGGCATAGTGTACAGCCTTGGATGGGACACAGAAACTGTTCTTGTCCTTCCGTAGCCTCTCGGGGCTGCACTGTAAGAGCCCCAGACACTTGAGGAAAGCGGGGATTGCCATGCCGGCATTCTGTTTCAGCAAAGGGCATCCACATTGTATTGGGTGGAAAGTTTACCCTAATGGGTGCAGTTATATCTGTCTCAGAAGACCTCAGGACAGACCCCTAGGCCAGGCTCTCTCAACTACTATCCATTGGTTTGGTAATCACCACCTACCAAGTTAGGGGCTTTAACTGAAATGTCATTGGAAGTATGACACTGTTAGATGAGGGAAATAAATAGAAGCGCCACTCTGTGAGTGAAGGGAGGTAAAAAAGATTGAATAACTTTTTCCAAAAAGACCATACCAAGTTGGGGAATAAGAATTGAAACCCTGATCACTTCTCTCCACAGCTTGTGCTTTCTAGAGCTCTCCTACTGGTTATTATATTGCCATGATTTCTATCGGGGAACTCAACCCAGGTCAAGTGAATTGTTTGAGGTCCCAGGTGGTAAATTAAAGAGGCAGAAATGGAACCCAAGACTCACCCAGTTACCGTTTGGTTCCCTTGAAGTGTCTGCTGATTCAGCAGTGAGCCAAAAGGCAAGAGCAAATGTGTGAGAATTCCTCTTCCCAAATGGAGACACTAGGCAAGAGACAGACCTTATCTTCTCTTAGTCCTTCTAGCCCTGAAAGATGTCTGGCTTCTCCCCGAAGCCTTAGTGAGTCAGGTCCCCAGTGATGGGTGTGGTGCTGCCTGGCCTTTCCTTCCTTTGCCTGAAGCTGCGCCAAAGGAGCCAGGCTGCTAAAAGAGAAAAGCAGACCAGAGGTTCATGGCTGCCTGTGAATTGGACCGGTAATAGGTGGGGGGTTTGGGTCTCTGTGGTTAGTCTTGCTTTGGCAATTCTGGTTGAGCAGGTGTAGACCCAATCATTGTATTGGGGAGGAGTCCAAGGACTATTCCAATAATGGGAAGGGGTGTGTATCTGAGGAGTTGCTTCATTGGAGAGCTGGAAGTCCTTGAAAAAAATTCACTTCAGTACTTGGGTGATGGAGAAGAAAGTATTGTGAGTTCGAGGTCATTCTACACATAGCAAGTTCGAGGGCAGCCTGAACTACACGAGATCTTGTCTTAAAAAAAAAAATTCAATAAACTTGAAGTTTGCACCTCCAAGAGGTGAGGAAATACGATTGGATTTGAGAATTTGTGATGACTAATAATACCTCAAACTTGCACAGAGTACTTTACAGTTTATAAAACACTTTGGTAAACCGTAGCTCATTTAATCCTCAGAGCATTCAAGGGGTGACAGGGTGGTTATTACTAATTACCCCTAGTTTACAGAGTGAGAAAACTGGTTCTGAATTTAAGTAACACTGCTTTACTGCCTTTAAGTGACATGAGCCCTGATTGATCACGGAGCCTGCCCCACGGGCCTCCTGCCTTGGAAGCCTGGTGAAGTGTCAGAAGACCCACATCCCTCAGCCAGGCCTCGAATGCCCCGTAGACCGGGTTGGAGTCGCTGACGCTGGGCAGCGGCTAGAGGGCGCTACGGCTCTATAAAGAGATCTTGGCGTTAGGACCCAGCTGAGGCCTGACAGCTGACCGCAAAAGAAGGCTTTTGATTCACTTTCCTGGCCTCACCGCCTCTTTCTCCGCCCATCCGTCTATTTTCACTCTGCATAGCCAATTGATAACGTCCACATACTTATACATCATCACTATACGCCGGGTTATCGCCTAGGCCTCCCCGCCAAGCTTCAGGTTGTAGGTGTCCTCGGCGTTGCCTGATCGGAAAATCTAGGGGATGAGGTATTAACCTCGATATGGCGGGCTTTCTCGGCCACCAGGAATGGAGTCAAGGTTTCAAGACCTGCCTTCTTTCCTAGAATGTTGCTGCCGGAGCGGGAGGCATTTCCCTCTCTGCAGCTGTGAGCTGGCAGTTCTGGAGGTGGCTCCTGAGTCCTACGAGGCAGCGGTCGCACGCAGCTCCTATGAGGCCCCTGCCGCCGGCCGGCGATGTCCGCCTGGAGCTTTCGCCTTCGCCGCTACCGCCACCTGCTCTGAGCGGGTCTCCGGCCGACTCGTCGGTGCGTCTCATGGCCGCGAGCAGATCCCTGGTGCCTGACCGGCTGCGCCTGCCGCTCTGCTTCCTGGGTGTCTTTGTCTGCTATTTCTACTATGGGATCCTACAGGAGAAGATGTGAGTGCACCCTTGGGGGGCAGGACTACTAATAGCCCCCAGCCAGGGCCGGCGTCCAGTACCCACCGTCCACTTTACGGCCCGGCCCTCAGGCTTCCTGTGTCTGGCATAGGTTTTCCTCTTTTCCGGCTCAGCCCTCAGACCTCTTTTTGCACTCTGCTATTATGCATTGGCGGCTGAGCATCCTTGTAATTCTAAAATTAAAGGGATGGCCTCTGGAGTTTTGGGATGTGATTCTTCTTCTTCCATTAGATGTTTTTTGACTTTATTGATTACAAGAGTGTTCCGTGACCTGAGACCCAGGTCTTTTATTGAACGCTCAGGTGCTTGCAGACCGCTAATCGTTTTGCTCTCGGTCTTGATTTCCTACTGGGGATACTTTTATCCCGCTATCTGACTTTCCTTGTTGCCCCTACCTGTAATTCTTTACGGATATCCTTTCCTTAGCTTATGATATCAGTAGGTTGGCCTATCTAATTTCTAGGCTTAAATCAAATCGGTCCCTTTGGGTAAATAAACTCAATGATTCTTACCAACTCTCGCTGCATCCACAAAAGCATGATATTTCCAAAACCCTCAGTGGCTCCGAGAATACTTGATGACACCGAGTGACACATACTGATTTCGTCTGTCTCTTTTTCTTGCATTTCATCATAGAACAAGAGGAAAGTATGGGGAAGGACCCAAACAGGAGACGTTCACCTTCGCCTTAACTTTGGTTTTCATCCAGTGTGTGATCAATGCTATATTTGCCAAGATCTGTGAGTACCTCATAGTAATTTGCTCGGTGCACCCTCCTTTTCCCCACATTCTGGGTATTAGACGTGGATTCATCTTTAAAATCTAAGTTTTCCCTACCTCCATATTCTTGGAGTGTTTAAACAGCCTCCCTGCAGTCTGTAAAACTAATGACTGTGAAATGAGATTAAAATATTAAGTCTCAAAAAAAAAAAGTTATGTCTCTAAATTATACCAACTTTTAAGTCAGAAATGACTGGGTCATCTGTGTTCTAAATCCCCACTGAAAATACTTAGAACATTTTCCCCTTTATCCCTTTGCCTTTGCTTTGTATGACAGCTTCAAACATGTCTTTGTTCCTTGAAACCCATTGGCAGAGTTAAGCCATCCTTTCTAGGGATTCAGTGAATCCCTGCCTCCACTCTGCATGTGGTCTTGTTAAACTTAAGGGAAACTGGAGAGATGAATAATTTTCAGAGATTTCCCAGCTTAAGAAGATAGAAATAGCTGTCTTGCTTGACAGTCAAGTTCCTTTCATATGGCCTCAACTTTTGCTTAATGGTCCATCCTTGCCCCACTGGGTTTCTCTTGTATGTTTTGTTTGTTTTTGTTTTATTTTTGTCTTCTCCCAGTGATCCAGTTTTTTGACACTGCCAGGGTGGATCGTACTCGGACCTGGCTCTATGCTGCCTGCTCTGTCTCCTATGTGGGTGCCATGGTCTCCAGCAACTCAGCACTACAGTTTGTCAACTATCCAACTCAGGTGAAATCTCAGGGTGAGATGAGAGGCGGCTCAAAATTGTGTGGACAAGACTAAGGGATCTTTCCTCTAGTCTGTGATTTAAATAAGAAAGAAACAATCCTACAGGCCTAAGGATGTAGCTCAGTTGGTAGAGCTTGCTTAGCCTGCATGAAGACCTGGGTTATATCCCCAACACTGCATGAGCCAGGCATGGTGTCACATGCATACAGTCCCAGCACTATGGAGGTAGAGGCTGGAGGATCAGAATCAGAGGTTCAGGATCATCTTCAGCTATGAAGGCCAGCTTGGGCTACTTGAGACTATGTTAAAGAGAGAGAGAGAGAGAGAGAGAGAGAGAGAGAGAGAGAGAGAGAGAAAGGGTGAGAGAGAAAAAAGTCTAAGAGTGTAGAATGTAGGACCATAGAATTGGGGTATGATATGGGTTTGGCCATGATAGGACTGCTTTTTGAGGCCAAGTTCTCTGATAGAGGTCCAGTGCTAATACCCATTAATGTAGCACCTGCTCTAATTCCTGCATATCACAGGCGCTCAGAAATTACTTGCTCACTTTCATTTCAGGTCCTCGGTAAATCCTGTAAGCCAATCCCAGGTAAGCAAAGAAGCCGGTCCGGTCTCCATGTTCTATGCTCACTCTTCCCCCTCTCCCCGAGAGCTCTGAGTCCCTTTGGGTTTTACCATCCCGGCATAGATCTCCCTAGGGATTTTTCTGTCGTCTGTTGCTTCCTGTGGTGTACACAGACTGTGTGGGGGCCAGAAGCTGACCTTGCCTGCTCTGTGTCCTTAGCCATTGTGGTGGCCCTGTGCTTACACTGTCCTCTCCCACCCTGAGTCCCATTTGGGCCGCAGTTTCTTCCTTTCAGTGCCTCCTCTGTCCCTTGGTCCTTGCCCACTTGCTTCCTGGACTTTTGTCCTCTGCCCTTCTCCACCTTATTGAATACTCAAGCCTGTTGCTCAATCATCTTTATCTGGCCACCAGCCTGATACCCCTCCCAACTCTCACCCTCTTTTCTCCCTCCTCGTGACATGGCTCTCAGGAGGAGGGTATTGGGGTCGCTGACAACAGTGGATGCTTGAACTGTCACTGTTCTTGTTTGTGTTTCCCCTGCAGTTATGCTCCTTGGGGTGACCCTCCTGAAGAAGAAGTACCCCTTGGCCAAGTACCTGTGTGTGTTGCTAATTGTGGCCGGTGTGGCTCTCTTCATGTATAAGCCTAAGAAGATGGTTGGGGTAGAAGAGCACACAGTTGGCTTTGGAGAGCTGCTTCTGGTATGCAGTCCTTTAGGGAAGGCAGCCTTTTCTAGCAGATTCCAGCAAGGACAGCCCCAGCTGAGGCAGGCAGGAAGCCAAGGGAGGGTGTGTTGTCCCTTGACTCCTGTTGCTGGTCTTTGCTGCAAGGACCCTGGCTCTGCTATGACCACAGTAAAGTGGCTGAAATATTTAGCTGTAGCTTAAGCAAACTCTCCTAGAGAAGAGTGTGCTCTGGGGTCTTTGCTTAGATTCCGGTGTGAGCTCATAGAGACCCAAGAGCCAAGAAGGAAGGAGTGGCGTGTGCAACGTGGAAGCCAGACTCAAATCAATAGGCGCTATCGCTGAGTGTTGGGCCCTGTCCCACGTGCTTCCCATTTTCATCGATTAACTTTTATAACCTCTTAACACAGGTAGTGTTATCTCCATTTTACTAGTGGAATTGAGGAGAGGCTGAGTCACTTGCCCATTGTCCCATGCATAAGTGGCAGTCAGGATCAGTGGCAGTCCAGGCCAGGCAGTCAGATCTCAGAACCTAGTCTCGAGTTAGTTCTTACTGAGCAGAGAGGCATCCTGCAGGAGGAGGCCTGCTCACTGTGGCCTGTTCCAGTCCCTGTGCACCAGTTTGTTGGCTTCGTCACTTAGAAATGGCGGTCTTCCTGCTCTACTCTGATTTCAGTCCATCGTGATGCAGTTAGTCTGTCAGTCCAGTGCCTGCCAGAGGGCAGCTCGCGTGGTCTCTCTACCCCCTACACCTGACCACAGGCAACTTTAGTTCCGAGGCTCTGTCTTAGGGCAGGACCTTTTCGAAGTGCCTTAGGGGAAGGTCTTGTGTCCTGGGTTAGGAAGGGGCCCTGCTGGCCACCTCATTGCCAGCTGCTCCCTTTCCTTCCCTAGCTCTTGTCTCTGACTCTGGATGGACTGACAGGTGTTTCCCAGGACCACATGCGGGCTCATTACCAAACAGGTTCCAACCACATGATGTTGAACATCAACCTTTGGTCCACATTGCTGCTCGGTGCTGGTAAGGAGCCATTCTGCTGTTCTCTGCACATGTCACCAGAGGGCAGACTGCTCTCATCCCTTTATCCCTGGTTCTGCTGCCAGTTGCTAACTTTGTGCAGGCCAAGGGCCTGACTTGGTTCCAAAATGCCCTTCTGTCCAACCCTTGAGAGACCTTCCTGGAAAGACCTGTGCTGGCAATGTCCCTCTGCTCCCTGAGTCTGACACGATAGGGGTAGACGTGTGCTAGATGTCATGAGAAGCTAAGTGGTGGAACACTCACAGGTATTTAGGAACATTCTTTCTCATAAAACGAATAAGACATACAGTATGGTGCTTGCCAACTTAGTAGTACCCTGAATGGAGTTCATGTATGGATCCTTTGATTTGGAATCAGTGGTTCCTAACCTCTCAAATCTGAGCATGTGAAGAAGGTATTTCTCATTAACGGTGGGGTTAATGGAGAAGACTAAGCCGGGCGGTGGTGGCGCACGCCTTTAATCCCAGCACTTGGGAGGCAGAGGCAGGCGGATCTCTGTGAGTTTGAGACCAGCCTGGTCTACAAGACCTAGTTCCAGGACAGGCTCCAAAGCCACAGAGAAACCCTGTCTCGAAAAAGTAAAAAAAAAAAAGAAAATAAAGAAAAAAGAAAAGAGAAGACTATTGGTAGCTGGAGGGGACCTGTTCCAGGGTGTCCTTGAGCTGGAAACCTAGAGGTCACTGTCTGCAGCAGCTAAGGATCTCTGCTTTTAAATTGCTGGTTTTGGTTTTTACTTTGGTTTTGTTTTCTGAGACATTTCTTACTCTGTAGTTCAGACTAGTCTAAAACTCACAATCCTCCTGACTCAGTTTCCTGAGTTCTGAGATTACAGGCACAAGCCAAACATACCCAACATCAATCACTTTAGGAGAAGTAAGCCTTTCTTGGAAAATCAAGTTAATGTCTGTAACTAGGTAAAAATTTGAGAAAGATGCAAACCAGGCCAGAATAAACTCTACATATGGTTCCTCGCTCAGCCTCCCTCATGGTATTTAAGCAGGCTGCATGCAGGTGTATGGGAAAGCATAAGATGAGCTGTTTACCTCTTGAATTTTTTTAGGGATCTTGTTCACTGGAGAGCTCTGGGAGTTCTTAAGCTTTGCTGAGAGGTACCCGACCATCATCTATAACATCCTCCTCTTTGGCCTAACCAGTGCCCTGGGTCAGGTGAGTTCTTTGGAGAAGGCAAACTTAACTTCCCTCCTGGGTCAGCCCGGAAGACTAGCTAGAAGAGGGTGGTGCAGCCAGCCCTGGTGCCTGTTGTATCTCTCATGGTACTGCTCAGGAGTCTCACACGCCTTTCTCTTTCCAGAGCTTTATCTTCATGACAGTTGTGTACTTTGGTCCTCTGACATGCTCCATCATCACCACAACACGGAAGTTCTTCACCATCTTGGCTTCTGTGATCTTCTTTGCCAACCCCATCAGCTTCATGCAGTGGGTGGGCACTGTGCTGGTATTTCTGGGTGAGTTCTACCCACAGCAAGTGCCTCTAAGAGGGCCACAAAGGGAAAATGGTAGACTTTCTTTTTTATTTATTTATTTATTTATTTTTCGAGACAGGGTTTCTCTGTGTTGCTTTGGAGCCTGTCCTGGAACTAGCTGTGTAGACCAGGCTGGCCTCGAACTCACAGAGATCCGCCTGCCTCTGCCTCCCGAGTGGTAGGATTAAAAGCATGCGCCACCACTGCCTGGCTTATCTTGTTACTTTAAAGAAAATTTTCGTAAAGGAGAAAAGGAAGCATTGTTTCTAATGCTGCCTTCCTTCTCTGCTTTCCATCTTAGTGGTGTCTTTTAGTGACATGAACTTTCAAGATCCTGAGTGGGACAGAGTCTGATATTTACTTCCCTGCCAACCTATGATATTATATGAGAGTTGAAAGAAATAACTGGGAAGTTTTGATTTTTGTTTCGGTATTGGTATGTGTGTGTTGCCAGTGTCTTGGTAGTTTTTCTTTTCATTTGTTATCATTCTGTTGTCTTTGAAGAAGCTACATAAAATTAGTCTTCCAAAGTTTGTTGTACCTAAAGCTGGGCAAAGTGGTGCACGCCTTTAATCCTAGCACTCAGAGGCAGAGGCAGAGAGACCTCTGTGAGTTTGAGGCCAGCTTGGTCTACATAGTGAGTTATAGGACAGCCAGAGCCACATAGTGAGTGAGACCCTGTCTCCAAACAAAGTTTGTTGTGTTTAAAGCTCACCTTTGGGAAGCTAGACTTGCAGGCTTCATGTCCTATGAAGTTTAAGCAGCTTCTCTCCTTTCTATAGGTCTCGGTCTTGATGCCAAGTTTGGGAAAGGAACAAAGAAGACCTCCCACTAGGAAAAGAAAGGCTTCCTCCACTCCAGAAACACTTAAATTATTATCTCCAACGGTGACATCTTGGGAAAATAGACCAGTCACAATAAGGGACTGGGTTCCAATCTTTTTATTAAAAAAATAAAATAAAATCAAAGGAAGCAAGATCGAATCTTCTAAACAAAGCACTTGGGGTTTAACAAGACAGGTTGCTAATTTCTGGTTTTGTATAGTCTAGCACAAATAAAGAGAACAAAGGCAAGCTGGAGACCCTACTGCTGCTCTCTGGGCTGGGTTTGGCAAGGCTGGGTGCTAAGGCTCCCCCATGAAGTGCACAGAAGTGTGTATGAGCAGGGGGAGCTCTGGGAGTTGGCAGGGTTGTGCCAGCAGCCTCTGTTCCCACGGGCGAGCTCTAAATATGCTGAGACAGGTGGCTGGCTGTTTGAGCCAGAGGATGTAAAATCACTTCAAAGCACGCAGCAAACAAGTCGAGTCGCCAAAAACGAAAGGTGTGTTCTCAAGGAACACCTAGAGGTTGAAACGGCTAGGACTTCAGAATCCACTGGCTTTTCTCTTGTTCCTGCTGCACCCCTCAGCCAGACTCCACCGAGAACCTGTGCATGAATCATGAACGTGTTTCCAAGGTCCCTGAACATGCTTTTCCTGACCCCCTCCCTCCTTCCTTCTGTGCTCAGTCCACCTGGCCCCCTCTGGGGAGCCTGGATTCGTCCCTCCTGCTCCCCTGCCCCCTTCAGCTGAAGCATCTCAGTCCTCTGCCATTCTGGCGTGCCAAGGTGTCACCATGCCAGCTTCTGCCTGTTGAAAGGGATGTTGGCGGAAGGCAGGGTGGCTGAGTCCTGGTTCAGAGCAGCTGTCAAGTGCTCTGGGTGGTAATGGGGGGGGGAGAAGGAGGAGCGTGGAGCAGAGCCACCTGCCCACTGCTGCCTTCAGAGCTGGATCGCAATCCTCCAAGGACCAAACTTTACACATGAAAGTGCATTGCCACCAGCTGCAACTTTCCTTCCATCTGTTCCAGCCCCCGCCCCTTGGCTCTCCAGATGGGAGCCTGGCCTCTTTCCTGAGTGCTGCCTTGCCACCCCCTGCCCAGCCTTTTAAGCCCTGCCCTGGTTCCACTCCTCATGCTCCCTAGGGACTGGGTGTCATGATGCACCGACTCTTCTTGAACTCCTTCCCCTTGGGGGAAATTTTAAATCTATTTGGTAGCGTTTACTGCCTGTCTCCCTGTTTTTTCAGCACCGTGAAGGTTGTTTCCTCTGCTGTATTCAAAGTTTTTGTGTGTTCTCCTGTGGTTGGCTGGGGATGAGGGCCTATCAGCAGGGCTAGGGTCCCACAGGTGGCCGTCATCTGTATCTACTGTTCTAACAAGAAGCATCAGTCTTCCCTGCCATTTATCTATCATGAAAGTACCCAGCGCTGGTCACTGAGACAAGACTGGTTTCAGCAACTTGAGATGAGATGGCTCATAGGATCAGCTCTTCCTGCCAGCTGGGTGCCTGGGAGTTCAGTTCCTGGGTATTCCTGTCTACTCATCCGACACTTCCGGTGCTACCAGTGAGCATGCAGGAGCTTCGGTGGTAGCTAAGACTGGTGCTTGCTTCTTGCTCATAATCTAATAGGGAGGTTGGAAGACAAACCACAACATCTCAGAAATGCAAGTATATGCAGGAAGGTGTCTGGGCAAGGTGGGGCTTGACTCACGTGTCGGAAGCTGAAAGCAGGAGAGGTTGGAGCGTTGGCTTCCCTGCTAAGCAGGAAAGGTGGTTTTCAGCTGCCTTGTACTCTCCCCTGGTCTGCTGTCTCCAGTTAGTTTCCGTGGGAACACATGGCAGGACTATGGTTTTCAGCTGAGGCAATGTTCTGCTCAAGAACTAAGCCGCCAGCTTGTTCCGGCTGGCATGCTACCTGTCGGAGCACGGAAATAGAAGGCCAGAGTTGACTAAGTCAGCCCTATGTCGGTCTCTAACAGGCCTGATTCTGAAATGCCAGGCAAGTTCAAACAGGCGATGTTGATCTGCTAACCCTGGAAAACCTGATGCCTCGGGTTTCGAAAGATCAAAGGTCCTCCTCTGCAGTTAATTCTCAGCTATGTGCAGAAGAGAGGAACCCAGCCTGCAGACTTCCCTAAGCCCTGTGTTTTTTTCTGCGGGCTATGCTGTGTTTAGCTCTATTTTGGTCAAAACATAAGGTCGGCTTTCTCGGTTTGGGTCTTTGTGCTAAGGCTCCTGATAAATGGATTTGCCATTTTGGCCTACAGCAAGGAAGAGTAGCCCAGTTGCTATTTGGAGTACAATCTTAAAGTATTCTGGAATTAAACATAGAAATAAAAATGATGCTGCTTTTTAAAGGATGTGGAAAGGCAGGTACTAAGTGTTACTGTAGATCATGCATAAGGAACAGATTCTGTATCCTTGCAAGTAACACACTTGCAAGGAGCACCAAACTCATGTCTGCTTTTCAGAGATAGGAGAACCTAAGAGCCAAGAAGGTTAGGTGACCAGCTGTAGGTCTTTGGGATGTCCTCCAGTTATGGCTGTCTTCTGGACCTGGGCCCTCCAAGGAAGACAAGTGAAGCCCCTCAGGAGGCCCATTGCCTCCAATAGCTGGTTCTACTTGTCAGGGAACAGTTGGTATGTTTTACAAGCAGAACTGGTCATTTCCCCGAGATGCCCTGGCAGAGAAATTGCCCTCGGTCTCTGTGGGATCATTCAGCCCTTCCCATTGAAAACAGACCAGCTGTCTTCAGGAACAGTGAGCTCACATGTTTATAATGCTCCTGCTTTCCCAGGGCTCTTTATGCTGTGCCATTTTATCCTTAAGGCACTCCTGGGAAGAGCTTGGGCCAGAAGCAGCCTCCCACACTTGAAGGAGGAAGCCTAAAATTCACTAAGGTGCATCAGCTGATGATTGAACACACTTGGGTGGGGCGGGGCGGGGGCAGGGAGCCTGATTTGTTTTTCTATATTGGGTCAGGGACTTCTTTAGTCTGCAGTAAGCTGAGCTAGTGGATCGGATTTTCTGGAAATTCCTAGTAGAACTTCCAGAGAACTTGGGGACTGACAGTAAATAATTTTAAAAATAGAAATGGAAACATAGACTCTATTACCATTATGGTTTACTTTGTTTTGCTTTGTTTTATGTTTTGAGCCAGAGTCTCATCTATCCCAGGGTGGCTTAGACCTCAATATGTAGTTGGTACTAAACTTCAACACCTGTCTAGGTGATGGAGCGATGGCTTAGGGGTTATGAACTCTTGCTGTTCTTGCAGATGACTGGACCAGGGTTTCCAGTACCCAAGTTGGTGACTCACAACCACCCATGACTCCAGCTGCCAAGGATCCAACACCTTTTGCCCGAGGGCATTTGCACTCATGTGCACGCACCACAGCACAGACACATATATATAATTAAGAAACACACACTAAGTCCGGGCTTTTCATCTCAAGTGCTAGGATTACCAGGCGTGGAGTGCCATGCCCAGCACCGTTTCAGCTCAGAAAAGAGCGTTCTAACTAAAAGCTGTCGGGAAAGGCTATCCATTTTCTTCCAAAGAGAATATAATCATCCCACTATCTCGATGATAAATTCCATTTTCACTTGCAGGAGATGTTGGACAAAATGTTATTCTCTGTAGACAGGCCCGGTGGCATTTGCCTCTAATTTCAGCTACTTGTGAGGCCAAGGTAGGTAGCAAATTAAAGGTCAACCTGGGCAAGTTAATGAGAGCCTGACTCAAAGGGTGGGGGCGGGGAGTGCTGGGCGTGGTCACCATGCCTGAAATCCCAGCATTTGGGAGGTGGAGACAGAAGGATCAGGAATTCAGGCTAATCCTTGGCTCCATACAGAGTCCAAGATCAGTCTGGGCTATATGAGACTCTTCCTTTCTCAAAAAAAAAAAAAAAAAAAAAAAGGAAGAAAGAAAAGAAAAGAAAGAAAGGAACAAAACAACCCAAAACCAAATTGAATTAACTAATGAGTGGAGCTGGAGATACAGTTCACATGGTGGGTAACTAATGAGTGGAGCTGGAGGTACAGTTCACATGGTGGGGTCCTTGCCTGAGTGTGCATGAGGTCCATGCCAGCACAATGCTAAGAGCAGACATGGTAGAACATGCCTGCATCCCCAGCACTCTGCAGGAGACGAAGGTGGGAGGTGGGAGGTTCAGAAATTCAAGGCCCTTTTAATTAAATAGCAGCTTTGAGGGCAACCTTGGCTACATGAAATCTGGAGTCAAAGGACAAAAAAAAAAAAAAAAAAAAAAGATAAGGCCAGGACTGGGAATATAGTCAGAGGCTGTCATTTGTGAAACCCTAGGTTCAATCCCTAGTACCACATAAATACATAAATAAATATATTCTTTGATTAGACATCAAGGGTATCTCACTAGGAGTGTTTATGTGGTAGAATTTTCAGGTTGAGCTAGAACTATGACTCACTTCTAGTAATCTTAGCTGCCCAGGGCCAGAGGTAAGAGGATGGTAAGTTCAAGGCCAGCCTAGACAACTTAGCAAGCCCCCATCTCAAAACAAAAATTAGCAAAGGCTGGGGGTGTAGTTCAGTGACAGAACACTTCCCTAGCATGAGGGAAGCCCCAGGTTCAATTCACAGCCCTGAAAAGGTAAAACCCCTTGCGATTTGGAGGCCGTGTTCCACAGTGCGACCCAGCAGAGGGGCAATGCCAACCAAGTACTCTGAAAAAGACACAAGTTTTGGGATGAGAGTGTCCATAATTCAGAGCAATCTGCGTGCCCCAAATGACCTCCCCTGGCCTCTGCCCTAGACAACCTTTCCTGGCCTTTGTCCTCTCTGCGAGGTCAGGTGGACGGTAGGCTGTGGAGGTCCCAGGGGCTTTTCGAGAGGGGCTGCAAGGAGTCTCTGATGGTTCTTCCTGAAAGCTCCCTTAAGTATGTTCAGACTGGTTTAATCAGCCAGCTCCCAGTATCCTCTAGAACATACTGGAGAGTAGCTACTGTACACTCGGCAGACTTGGAGCCAGTGAGTCCTGTCTGCCATTGGTAGGGAGGGCGGGAAGAGGACCCAGAGGAACTTGAAACCATGAGTGATTCAGTCAATGCAAGGAGCCAGGAGACCCACAGGGCTGAGAATCTAAGAACTATTCAGTCAGCAGCTCCTGCCCGCAGCGACGCAAGCCCTCAAGTGCAGCTTGCTGCTTCTGCCTTCTCCTGAAGTTCACCTTTTTTTGTTCAAATGGGTGAACTCCCTGTGACTTC